GCACAAATGCCAAACCAACCACTTAGTAACAATTGTTAAAGTGTTTCCTCTTGAAAAAGAAGAAATGTTTAAAAATCTCTCCAACAAAACATAAATCTCACCTTTACATGGCTTTTTGAGTGTCTTTTGGCATCTTTTTCTTATGATTTGCCAAGCAGCAATTTGCTCACTACTGACCCCAGTGGTTGGGGATACCCACTATTGGTCAGCACAGCCACTAAAAAGAGAAAGTTAAACCTGCCTTGGGAGTATTAAAACAACGATGTCCCCCTGTGAGTGGGACTTTTGTTTACAAGATCCATCTGGTGCAGTAGCATTTTATTACATTTCATAAAAGGACTGATACTGACTGCTGCATTGTTTGTTTTGCAATTGTACAAAGAGCCACTCAATGCCACTGACTATTCCTGCCAATGTTTTGCACATTCTTAGGTCATGGCTGGCTACTTGTATTTTAATAAAGAAAAGCAAGAGTACTTCAAATTAAAAGGAAAATCATACAGAAAACAACAAGACTGATTTTTTAAATCTTTTTTCTTAATTTTTTAATTTTGTGACTAGGGATGGGATGATAAGAATTTTCCTCTATGATTCAGCGCATTATTTAACAAAGTCACTTTCAGCTTTTCCCGTTTTTTTTTTTCTTAGGGGTTGCTACAGCGAATTGTCACACTGACAACTCGCATGTTGACATTTGGCATGTGTTTTACACCAAATGCCCTTCTTGACGCAACCCTGACTCGAACCCGGGCCTACCAGGGATGGCATTCAGTGCATGATTCAGTCATGATAAAATTAAAAATTCAATGACAACAATGTACGACTAGCTGTGGAATACTTTGTTTCTTTTTCTTTTTCCCCTTTTCTAGCACTAGTTTGATTATGTAAAGAACAACCAGATGTAATGACTAATGTTCTGTTAAGCTGTCTTATTTACAAAAATATGAAGTCACTGATAGAGCACATGATATGTATTGCTAGACAAAACGATACATATTGTGACATTTTTGTATTGCAATATATTGAATTTTGGTATAATGTGCTATCCCTAAAAGTGACAAATATCGTATTGTGGACTTTTTATAATGTCAATATCGTAGCATGTGTTTGTGGTATCGTTGCATCCCTAATAATCATACAATAATTCTACAGCATAGATACTTAAATATATTGGATGATTTAGCTCAATGTGTAGTTAACAACAACCAGCTGCTGGAACAGAGTGGTTCAAGACAAGATTTAGTAAAATTTTAGCATTTAAGATAATTATAGCAATGATTAGGCGTTCAGCTATATAAGCATAACAGTGATACTGCTAGGAACCATGTACACATTGCAGCTGTTTAATACACTAAAGTCAAGTAGTAACAGTAGAACACACATTCAACTTATAACCTGAAAATTTCTATTGAAATTTGCATGTGTAGAATCTCAAAATCTTGAACTCTGTCACCCCCAAGTGGTGCCACATGGTGCTACCCACTGCTCTCCAGCTAAGATTTTTCTACAATTAAAAACTTCACCGTAAGGTTTGGAATGCGGCTTAGTGATCTGGCCAGTTTTTTTTTTCAAATAACCATAAGGGGGAATGAGGAGAAGAAAGGCATTCACCATGTTTATTAGACCTCAAGAATACACAGTACATGTTGTGCTGTTGCACATTGGTGCAGGCACTTGTATTTACTTCTGTGTGCCACATAAATCAAACAAAAATGGACTCACCTCACTGAAATATGCTTGAGATTTTCTAATATGGGGTAAAAGTGAAAATAGCTAGTGGTGAATAATAAATTGTAGACAGTTCCTGAACTGTTTCTGCCCCCCCC